AATCAGTCAAACACTCCCTAATCATTGGATACATTTTCTTCATCTTTCCCGACGTAAAGGTAGGGCTGAGTATAGATCGCAAGCGTTTCCAGTCGTCGCCCCGGGAGGCAAACAGATGTTGATTTAGTATCTTATGGTCAACCGGTCTATCTTTGCGGTCGGAAAACAGATGAAAATCTTTGACCAAAACATTTTTGATGAGTTCCGGTTCGCCGATAGTTATTATGGGCTCAGTCTTATTAAAAACCCTGAATATATATAGATTTTAAATATAACTGTGAGAGATATTAATTAATAATCATATAGTAAAAGTACCCGTATAATTTTCCATATTTTGCGAACCAATCCAATTCCAATATAGGAGTTGGTTTAAGAAATCTGTAAAGATTTGTGCCCACTATTGGGTATGGCGTCGGACCACTCACACCTAGTTTTTTCCAGTAGTTGAAGGTTTTGGTTAAAAATCTATTAAAAACAATAATTTATAATAACATATAAAATATAATAATTACTATTAATATTTACATATAAATGAATGGCAGAGCCGACACAATTGACAACGCTATCCATGAGCTCCACGATAAGGGCCCTAAAACATCCATTACTTGTACTAAACTTATATTTAATAAAATATTTTAATAGAATTGCTTATAATTTCGATATACAACTTAATCACTTAATTTCATGGCTTTTATACAACTTAATAATCAAGTTCTAGTATGACCATGGGATGTTGTGTAACTCCCGGGGGAGGCAGTGAACTAGCCCTTTTTGAACTTATTATAATTAGATTTTAAATTATTTTGCATGGCTCGTTAGTTATTCTTTATATATTTTGTAGTTTTTTGTTTTACTATTAAATTCAATACGTTTGAAAAGGGTTATATTAATAATCTAGTCTTATTATCCCTGAGCCTTATTATGTACCAATCAATTGCAATGTAGTAGTTTTTAATATTTATGTAGCATTGTATTATATCTTATAACATATAATAAATTTGCACTAATGAGTACCATTGGATACATGCTCCTAACAGCACTAAAACTTATTAATTTAACTAGCTTTAAGTAAAATGGGTACAGTTTTAGCAGTATGTGTATGTTCTGTGAAAAGTGTACCCAAAAATAATTATCTAGAAAATTGTTTTTAAACCGGTTGTCTATAACTTACGATTAGATCTAATAGTGTAATCAGTATTTGTTTAGAAATCGTTAGCCAAAAACTTTGAGACCTTGAATGCAGTTTATGAATACTATAATTGTTTGAATTTATTTATTTTTACTTGAAAACTAAATGAAAAATAATAAATTTTATATTTGTATTATTATATTAGAATACATTTTAGGTCTATATTGGTTTGATCCTAATTAATAATTAATTAATAAAAAATCATTTATTGAATATTATAAACTATAATAAATAAAGCAATTGTAATTGACTATTGTGCCATGACTATGTAATACTGTATACATTATTTATTTCATAATAGATAACATTTCAAAATAAATATTACGATAATTTTTCCAATCACATTTATAAGCAATTCAAGTATAATTATTATAATAGCAAATGTGTTTCCAATTAAATACAAACTGAACATTTCATTCAATTTATTTAATCCAAATGAATCCCATTCCCCTTCATGTAATTCCTTATAGTGATCAGGCATAATTTGTTGGAACCATAAATTCACCAAACCATTAGTGATTAAATTGGAAAGGCTAACAAGATAAATAAAAATTCACATTATTATAATTTATAAATATCTCAATACAATTCATTAATTTATTTACATTTCATTTAATTGTTGTTTGAATCGAGAGTTTTTGCGCAAAACTATTGCACTGATAATCAATGCAATGGATGTCTGATCACTAGCCGGTGACACATAATTAGTGGTTATGTTGTATATGTTGTAGTGTTTATTACCAAAAAGTATGTCTTTCCGGTGCGTTATTAACGAATATTTAGCAGGGTCAGCTTTTAGTAACAGATATATATCTGTAGGATTTTCATTTTTAATAAATTGAACCAGATTATGCATACTATGGTTTTGTTCTCTACAATTCTATTATATTTAAGTATATTATTAAAATTTTTATTAAATGCTTATGTTCAAATGTTAGTAGATTAAATAAAGTTTTTACCTTAATTAACCATTTATATAACATTCCATCGTACATTAATATTTGAACATGGTATTTTTCACAAACACTTATTAACTCGCTGACTGATCTTATTTGAACATTAGGTGAACGAGTAATCACTGAATAAATAATGTTTGAATAAAATGATATTAAAATCAAACAAACCAATAGCCAAATGACCATCAACAATCTTATCGAAAATGTTTTAAATGATTTTATACCAAATGGTTGTTTAAACAGAGTTGTAATTAAATGCCATAAAATATTAAAACTAAAATTAGTAGTATTTATAAGTATCATAACATTTATTATTGCAAATAAAATCACAATTGATATAAGCAATAATATCCAGGTCGTTGAATCAAACATTTCAGTTAAATCGACATACAATTTGTTTTTAATTGGAGGTACAGTGAA